TATGAAAAGGGTAAAAGACTGCAAAGATGTGTCTATTATGTCTCCGCAAGATGAACAGTGTAGACGGACAAGTTTACTCTGTTTGTATACTACAATTTTCTTGTTTTACTAAGTACAACTCGTACAACCGTATGCAGTCAAAACATAAACAAACAAAATGTGAACATAGCAGACGAAACTCTTACAGATTACAGCTTTCTCAGAAGGTATCACTATACTAAATCAAAGAATTATCTAAAAAGACGATATCGAATTCGTCACTGAATTCCCATGTTTATTGGGACACCCTGTATGACTTTTAAACTTTAAAAAGCAAAACAATTTTACTAAAGTAAATTGGGGAGTGTTATAGGTCAAGTTTTATCCTAACTATACTCTAAATGCGAATTATTCGATTAAACTTCTAAAAGAAAAGTTTTAACAATATTTGCAAATATTGTTTCAGGATTAAATGCAGTTTTATATTTGTCCGGGGCAGAGTTTAATTAATAGTAATGCAGGGTAAGAGAAACAGTAGAGCTTAAATAGATTTGGCCCTAAGAAGCAGCAATTGGCGTCTAAATAAACATGAGAAATAAGAGACGAATACCAAATGTTTGTTGAGAATTAGCCTTGTAATACCTTATTTCAATGATTAAATGCATTGCTCAGTAACATTTCTGCAAGATAAACAGTAAAGAAGACCAACTACTTTGTTTGTTTAGTGATACAGGGATTTATAATTTTACTGAGTATAACAGTATGCAATCAAAACATAAACAAACAAATTCATAGCTCTAGGAGAGGAAACATCTACTGTAAAACAGCTGTCCTTTGTAGGCATTACTACTACTAAACAACAAATCATTAACAAAGACGATATCAAAGTCATCACTCAATTCCCATGTTTATTGGGACTCCCTTTATGTTACTTCACGATACAACTTTTAACTTAACAAAAAGTAATTGATAGAATTAAGATAAAAGAGTTAATTTCGTAATTTATGAAATTAATTAAACATATTTGACAAATTTTAAAATAACAATTTCATTAAATTGATTTGTCAAGAGCACAGATTAAACAGATTGGACAGCAGATGAAAAAAAACTAAATTGAATTTAATGAGAACCTAAATAGTATAAATATCATTTTAGATATTTGGGTAATGAATCTAAAATTCGGTCTTGTGCATTAACTATAGTCTCATCTAATCTGAGTAGCACTTTATCCTAATATCATAATACACTAATAATACAAAAAAATTTAATTAAGAACACAACTACGCCAATTTTACCGCCCAAAAGTGTTTCTGGGTGTCATAACGGTCTAAACTTTGTGTCAAATAAGAATAGGGTGTTTTCCAAAAAATAAACGAGATTATTTCTTAAGTCATAGTCATATTCATAGAAATAGTCATGTTCATTGTTCACTCTTCAGAGTTACAGAAGGCATTGCCTCACTTGAAGGTTGACGCGGTTTTGAAAACTAATCTTTATAGATAACTGCGATAAAATAATCATAAAAACTGAATGATTGATGATTGATTTATTACTTGACTGATTGATTGAATGATTGTAGTGAACGATCTGCAGAAGCTCCTGGAGCGTGATGCCCCTATTCCTCTAGAGATCTACCGTGAGACTGCTAGACTAGATGCACAACTTCAACAACAGCTTCATCAGGTTCAACAATAAACTTTGAAACTATTCCTTTCTCTCTCCATTCTATCTTCTCCTTCTTCTCTCCATTCCATCTTCTCCTTTTTCTCTCCATTACTTCTACTCCTTTCTCTCTCTAATCTTCCTTCTCCTATCTCTCTCCATTACTTCTTCTCCTTTCTCTCTCCATTACTTCTTCTCCTTTCTCTCTCCATTACTTCTTCTCCTATCTCTCTCCATTCCTTCATCTCCTTTCTCTCTCCATTCCTTCTACTCATTTATCTCTCCATTTCTTCTTCTCCTTTCTCTCTCCATTCCTTCTTCTCCTTTTTCTCTCCATTTCTTCTTCTCCTTTCTCTCTCAATTCCTTCATCTCCTTTATCTCTCCATTCCTTCTACTCATTTATCTCTCCATTTCTTCTTCTCCTTTCTCTCTCCATTCCTTCTTCTCCTTTTTCTCTCAATTCTTCTTCTCCTTTCTCTCTCAATTCCTTCTTCTCCTTTCTCTCTCCATTAATTTCCTATTAAACTCTATTTTTCCGCCGTTTTCCATTCCCAACTCCACCCGTCTATTCCTCTTTTTCCTTCCCATCCACCAAATATTACTGTATTACAGGACCACACATTCTTGTGTTCCTTAATATTTTGTATTCAACGGTTAAAAGTTTAACTAGTTTAAAACTCTAATATATTTAGAGTCTAGAAACCCTGCTCACACCAGACCTATCTGATACAACGACTCTAAATGTTGAACAAAGTCTTCCAACAGAATCCGCTCTGTCTGCCACCACAAATCTTCTAACTTCAGATCAAAGGTAATTAATCAATTATTTCTAGAAGGTCATTAAACAATTTAGTAAAATTATTATTGTAACTTTTTTCTCAGTGTGCATTGGCAGGACGCGTTACAAACAGGATTTTCCAAATTTACAAATCCATCGGAGAAATCTTTGATCGCAGAAACTTCATCTATCTTCGCCGATCCTTCCACCTTCTCCGGTCCGTCAACCTTCTTCGAATCTTCAACATTATCTAAATCTTCAACTTTCTCCGAACCTACAACCATCTCTGATCCTTCAACCTTCTCCGATCGTTCAACCTTCTCCAATCCTTCAATCTTCTCCGATCCATCAACCTTCTCCGATCCATCAACCTTCTCCGATCATTCAACCTTCTCCGACCCTAGAATATTATATGATCCTTTGACTCTGCCTGAACAAAACATATTTACCACGACAAGCTCCAGAGGTTCTACTGTATTTGCGGAGAAGAAACTAGTCTCTGAAGACGCATCTGAACCCACCTTAGGATGGTTTGAAGGAGACACGGTTTTGGGACGGATCCGAAACCCAGAGCCGGAGAGGGGTCATGGTTTCGGATACATCTTTCTCTCTGAACTCTCTCCTCATTGGGTCTGGATAATTCCATCTATTCTTATTTTCTTTCTTCTGCTCATCCTAACAATTATATTTGTAACAAGACGATCTTCAAGGAGACGACAAGGTGAGAAAATAAATGTATTTTTTACCCCNCCCTCCCTTCTCTTTGAACTCTGTAATTGTTAAAGGTTAATTAGCAGGTATGCGAGGTATCACAATTGCAAAATAGTTTTTGTATTCAAACTATTTTCCTTGATAGTTTCTCTCTTGCATAGATGCATCTTCTTAAACAATTAAAGGGGCTGTTTAGAAATTTTAGAAATGGATCGTAAAACTGGTAATTATGCTTATAACTGGTTTATCAAGCGTAATATTGGTAAAGGAACTGAGCATTTGCCTCAAACTCTAATTTTTGAATACCCATATTATTGTAACCTGATGCAGTACTATGAAACCTGCTAGATTAGAATTTCAAATATTTAATCATCAAGTTGCAAAGATAAACAATATTTTTTGGCAAGTAATAAATTCCTTTACAATCTTTTTAAGTTGTTTTGAATTTTAAAAAATCCTTTTTTTGTTTAACATGAAATTTTTTAATCCAGCCATTTTTTCAATTGCAAATTGCAATATTCTGAGCGACATTTTTATCATTTAAAGAAAAAAGAAAACAGCGAGAATTCCAATGTTTTCTAGATTTCACTGTAGTTGACCGGAACATTTGAAATACCATGAATAAATGTTTATCATTTTACCGCGCCAAAATAAAGTCGACAAATTTTTTCTCACAAATTATGATTTGTATATATAAAACTTAAAAACTAAAAAATTATGATTTGTACATAAAACTTAGAAAGTTTTTAAAGCTTTTAATTCTGAAGGAAATGAGTTTCTGCCACAAACTCTATCTTCTAAAATCTATATCCTTGCAACCTGATGGTGTAAACCTTTGTTATTTCAAACTTAAAATATTTGATCTTGCAGAATTTATAGTTTGAAATATCAAAGGTCTACGACACCATGTCGCATAGATATAGGAATTAGAAAATTAGTGTTTGTGGCTAAAATTCGGGTTCCTTTTCAATTCAAAAACATTATTTTTAATATTCTTTAAAATTGATAAATGTATTCTTAGAACCCCCTAGAATCTAGAATCTGTACCTCCCTGTCCTAAACTGAACAATGTGCTTATCTCTAGTAGCTCCAGAGGTATTAGCTCATCCTTTGTTTTATAAATTGTTTCATTTAGAAGATGAAGAGAAAAGACAACAATCTCACAACTACCCGAGATACAGGTACATTGTACAATGTACATTATACATGTCGTTGTACAATCATTGTGCAATCAGTGTACAATCATTGTCAAGCATTGTACATTTCATAATACAATTCATTGATAAATATAGAGAAAAGAAAGAGTTTACACAATTAAAAGTAATGAGTTTTTGCCACAAACACAAATTTTCTGATTTTCTGAAATATCCAAGGTTTCAGGGTTTCTGGCAAAGACTTTATTTTGATTATATTTGATTTTTTAAAATTATATCTGTTTAGTCCAGGGTTTGATGATACTTCAAGGTTTGTAGTTAACCTCAAGCAGGATCAAAGGTACTGACAAATAATAGACAAACTAGACAAACTAGACAAACTAGAAAAACTATACAAACTAGACAAATTAGACAAACTAGACCGACTAGACAAACTAGACAAACTAGACAAATTTAAAAAAACTAGACAAATTAAAAAAAAAACTAGACAAGTTAGACGAACTAGACAAAATAGACAAACTAGTCAAACTGAGAAAAACTTTACAAGCTAGACAAACTAGAAAAGCTGAAAAAAACAGCAATAAAGGCAAGCAAGATATTTAAAAAAAACGTTGACAATTTATCTGAAAAAAATGTACAAATATGATCGATTAAACTACATAAGCAGATAATGTTGAAAATAAAGACAAACTTCTGGCTAAACAATTGATAGTCAGGCAGACAAGATAGACAGGCAGACAAGATAGACAGGCAGACAAGATAGACAGGCAGACAAGATAGACAGGCAAACAAGATAGACAGGCAGACAAGATTGACAGGCAAACAAGATAGACAGGCAGACAAGATAGACAGGCAGACAAGATAGACAGGCAGACAAGATAGACAGGCAAACAAGATAGACAGGCAGACAAGATAGACAGACAGACAAGATAGCCAGGCAGACAAGATAGACAGGCAGACAAGATAGACAGGCAAACAAGATAGACAGGCAAACAAGATAGACAGGCAAACAAGATAGACAGGCAGACAAGATAGACAGACAGACAAGATAGCCATACAGACAAGATAGACATACAGACAAGATAGACAGACAGACAGATAGACAGGCAAACAAGTTAGACAGACCAGACCAGACAAACTAGATTAACTTAAAAAGCAAAAACCAAATTTTTCATGTTTTGTAATTTCAAAACTAATTTTCGTTCCATTTCTTACTTGAGATTTTACAGACAAGACACCATTATCCAGCTCCGAGGGGACCCAGAGCTATCAAGGTATCTCACTCATCAAGTTATTTCTCCGAACCTCTCTCCTGAACAGAAGAGTCCGACAGTTCTCTCAACCTTCTCTCCCTCTATCCCTCGAAGCCTAAAGGTTGATATTATCAAGGATGAAACTAAAGATAAGGATTCGCAGAATAGTTCTGATCTTGAGGATTCGAACTCGGGTCAGCTTTGCCAAACATACACGGAGGAAAGGGGAGTCGAGGTTTCTAATACCCCGGAAGACGACATTACAGAAACAAGCGGAGTATTTGACAAGGATGAAGAGACCATGGGAGTCCTTGAGAAAGACGAGGAGATGAATGGAGTCCTGGTAAGGGACGAGGAGACGAGTGGAGTCATTGATAGGGACGAAGGGATTGAATCTGAAGAAGGTGAATATTTAGAATGAAAGTTTTATATAAAAGTCTGGACAGGAGTCTGGAGATTGTAGAATCCTTCTCAATGATATTTCTCCGAGGTTTTGATAACGATTCTTCCTCAGGCCTAGGCAGTATTTCTTTCTCTGACTTGATTCAGCTTTCATTTATATTTTCTTTTGTTAGAATACTTTCTTTTACACTTTAATTTTTATACCATTTGGTTTGGTTACTGATGAAATATAATTCAATATTAATTTTTATCCTATTTCCTATTTTTATCTTACATTCTCCATTCAAATTGGGTTTTTTATACTTTGAAGGATATGTATTTCCTATTCTTTTAAGTACTTGAATTTATTTTTCTCTGCAACACTTATATTTCCTATTCTTTTAAATACTTGCATTTATTATTTTCTACAGAAATTGTATTCCCTATTCTCTAAAGTACTTGTATTTCCTATTCTCTATAGAATTTGTATTTCCTATTTTCTAAAGTACTTGTATTTCATATTCTCTATAGAACTTGTATTTCCTATTCTCTATAGATCTTGTGTTTCCTATTCTCTAAAGTACTTGTATTTCCTATTCTCTATAGAACTTTTATTTCCTATTCTCTAAAGTACTTGTATTTCCTATTCTCTATAGAACTTGTATTTCCTATTCTCTATAGAACCCTCACATTTTCCTTTCTGCAATTTACAAGTTTACAGTCCCCTGATATTTCATATTTCCCTAGATACCTAAAAATGTTGAAATATATATTTTCTTCCCTGTTCCTGATATAACCGCTGCGGACCAAAGGTTCCATAATCTAATAAAATATTTTCCGGGAGGAAACACCGCCATTTTATGCAATTTATGCGAAAAGTTCTAATTTTGCAAATATTTCCACAGAATATAATATCTTTATTTACACTTTATGCAACAGTTCAGATTGAGATGTTGTAGAGTAGTGTAGCAGTGTAGCAGAGTGGTAGAGTAGTTGTAGAGTAGTGTAGCAGTGTAGTAGGGTAGTTGTTTAGCAGTGTAGTATAGTAGTTGTATTATAGCTGTGTATCAGGGTTATATCGTAGTTGTTGAACACTGAACTTTGTAGCAGGGTAATAGGGTATAGCAGTGAAGTATAGTTGTTATAGAGCAGTGTAACAGTGTCGCAGTAAATAATTAATTTTAGTGAAGACAAAATACATTTTGTAATATTTTAGATAAATTACGAGGCCAAGTATCGAAGCCGAGGAACCCCCTGGGGCGGGGCTGGGAGTCCAAACCATTCCCTGGGGTCAGACGGTAACTCACCGTCCATCACACCTCCCAGTCAAACCCAACCACCGGAAATACCAAACCATGAAAACCAGTCTTTTGTTACTTCCTTCTCAGGAAGTGAGTCGGAGTGTTTAATCTAAACCAGCAGTTCACTCCTGACAAAAAATACTTATAATCTAGATCATATCCATAATCCATATGTATTTATATATAAAAACCAAGAATTGTTACTTCTGCACCTTCATTATTTTAACTAGTTTTGCATTCTCTTGTGGGATCTGGCCCTGGATGTATAGTTTGAAAAACAGGATTCTTAAATCAGATCCAGGATACAAATTATTGATCCCAAATTCACTGCTTCCATACTCATCACGGATCCTTCATATTTCATATTCATATTGGATCCTGTATTCAGATATTGGATCCTGTATTCAGATCCCCGATCCTCTATTCAGATATTGGATCCTGTATTTATATATTGGATCCTGTATTCAGATATTGGATCCTGTATTTATATATTGGATCCTGTATTCAGATATTGGATCCTGCATCCGGACATTGCATCCTGTATTCAGATATTGGATCCTGTATTCAGATATTGGATCCTGTATTAAGATCCCCGATCCTGTATTCAGATATTGGATCCTGTATTTACATATTGGATCTTGTATTTATATATTGGATCCTCTATTCATATATTGGATCATGTATTCAGATATTGGATCCTGCATCAAGAAATTGCATCCTGTATTCAGATATTGGATCCTGTATTCAGATATTGGATCCTGTATTCATATGTTGGATCCTGTATTCATATATTGGATCCTGTATTCATATATTGAATCATGTATTCAGATATTGCATCCTGTATCCAGATATTGGATCCTTTATTCAGATATTGGATCCTGTATTCATATACTGGATCCTGTATTCATATATTGGATCCTGTATTTAGATATTGGATCCTGTATTCATATATTGGATCCTGTATTCATATATTCGATCCTGTAGTTATATATTGGATCAGCTGTATTCAGATATTGGATCGATCCTGTGTTCAGATATTGGATCCTTATTCAGATTCCGGATCCTGTATTCAGATATTGGATCCTGTATTCAGATCCCGGATCCTGTGGTTATATATTGGATCAGCTGTATTCAGATATTGGATCAGCTGTATTCAGATATTGGATCCTGTATTCAGATATTGGATCCTGTATTCAGATCCCGGATCCTGTATTCAGATCCCGGATCCTGTATTCAGATTCCGGATCCTGTATTCAGATATTGGATCCTGTATTCAGATCCCGGATCCTGTATTCAGATCCCGGATCCTGTATTCAGATCCCGGATCCTGTATTCAGATCCCGGATCCTATATTCAGATCCTGAATCTTTAATTTTGAATCAGATCCCGGTGTCTGTATTCAGGTTGTGAGCGTCTGTTATTCTAATCCAGGACTAGGTTTTTAATCAATGAATTCCGATCCAGGCACTAGAGGTTGGATACAGGATCTCTGGCCTGTTTACTGCTTGATTAAATTCAACCTGAACTAATTCTACAAACCAAGTTTAAAACCTAATTTCTGCTCTAATTCTTGGTTTCAGTTTAACCTACGTGTGCAATAATAATTCATTGTTCTTTGTTATAGAGCAAATTTTGATGTTCACTTTGTTTTGTAATTTAATGTTTTCAAATTCAAGTTCAAGTTTGAGGCAGGTTTTCAAACCCAGTGGACTCCTTGCCAGTTTATCCAACCAAAGTTTCAAACAAAGAAACCCTATTTTGACTATTTGGAAACATGTGAAAGGAATTCAGTCTTTGCCACAAACTCTGATTTTCTAATCTCTTTATCTTTGCAACCCAATGTCGCAGACCTTAGATATTTCAAATTATTAATTCTGTATAGATCAAATAAGCTAAGCTTACACCATGAGGTTGCAAAGATTTAGTACTATAACTTTTGAAATTGTGGCAAGGTCTCAATTCCTTTACTTCTCTATATATAACCCCTTTAGCTTGGATCATCCTGCATATCAATTATACAACTATAATTCATCCTTGAGACATATCTTTTTTAACCTTAAACATGAAAGCTGATTATAGCGTAATTTCAAGTGATCCCCGGTTTTAAAATTACGGTAATTGCCAGCGTTTCAGATTCATTTTCCGGTTTAAAGGGACTGTTCAGATATTAGAGCTGGTGTACGGACAACAATTGTAGTGTTTAAAGCATGGTTTAATGTTTAGAATATGACCAGATACTAAAACCCTTCAACCCATTGTCTGAATCTAAGCTGAGTAGAGAACCTGGAGAATAGGATCAGTACACTCCAGGACGTTAGAGCTTAGCTCCGTTTATCCAACTAAGGCCTGGGGACTTATACTTCATGGACAGCTCTCAGACTGATATATCTTTATTATGAATACCAGAGGACTAAGGAGGACACCAGCCCCCTTCCCCCTCCTCCAACATGAATATACATGCTCGGAATCCTCAGCATCAATAAGGATATCAGAGGACTCTCTTTACTCTCCAGCTTGTTCTCGGACAGAACCACTGGAGACACAAGCAGCTAGAGGATCCAGTCTTTTTTCTCCAGTTGGATCTATGAACAGAGTTACTGGAGCCTTGGAACAGCTAAAGTGTTTATAGGACATGCAGAAGCTCCATATTCTCGATTTGGCTCTATCGACAGGGACACCTGAGATACAGAGCAGCTAGGATCTCCAGGACATGCAGAAGCTTCATATTCTCGAGTTGGTTCTTTTGACAAGGACACCCGAGATACAGAGCATCCAGGACTTCTAAGATATCCAGGACACATAGGAGAGCTAGGACTTCCAGGATCCCGAGAACAAAGAGGAACTTTTCACAGGCCTGCTGTGGAATTAGCAGCAGAACTAGATGATTCTGAGTACGAAGACGCCCCCCATTGCAGAGCAGCTCTGTACACATCTGTGGTAGCAATAGACGCAGGATACATAGGATAACTTAAGAATTCCAAAACGCACAAGAGACTCTAGGGACAGCTCAGTGAGCAGCTCGGATTGCAAGTACAGCTATCATAGCAGAGAATCTAGGAACAGCTCAGGGAGCAGCTCGGACTGTTAGCACGGCTAACATAGCAGAGGCTCTAGGAACAGCTCCAGGAGAAGCTCGGACTGCAAGTACGGCTAACACAACAGAGACCCTAGGAACAGCTCCGGGAGCAGCTCAGACCGTAAGTACTGCTAATATAAAAAGGACTCAAATAGCAGCTCCAGTAGTTAAAGAATCAGCTGAAGACACAATAAGAGCATCCCAGATTGTATAAGCAAGAAGCAGTCAGGATAACAGAGACTCTGAGAGCAGCTGAACGAGATAGAGTAGTAGAGGAAGCTACTCGGACAGATCCTGAACTGTAGCAGTTGAATATCTTAAGGAACTTATTAAACATGAATAAACGTTACAGATGTATTTACCAAATAAACTATGAAACTGATCAATCCCAATTCATTTATACTCTGAGAGATCTTTATAAAGAGGATGTTAAAGGAATAGATACTAAAACAAGAGGACGGGGATCTACAGTGAAATATTTGCACAAACCCTAAACCTGCATGGGTGCAATTGATTGATCTCGAAAATTAGGATTTACGTTTGGCTTGTATTTGATTGAAGACAATAATCATTACACAATTTAAAAAACTCAATCTTCTTAACTTAAACGTGAATTGTTAAACCCTGAATTTTAAAATCAATGATTAATAATTAAATCATTTACGTCATTTTCACCTTTTAAATGAAATCAGCAGCAATCTCCTTTTTGAAGAGCAATTCATTTTAACTTAAAATGATAAAATATTATAATTCTTGACTTATTGAGGAAATAAGAACAAATTCATGTGATTATATAATTTATTGTTTGCTCTGTCTGGGTGAATGATACAAAAATAGAAAAATCAAATTATTCTACCCTGGAAAAAATACATTACTATGTTATTATAAGTTTAAACAACAGAAGATGAAGATCAAGACGGCATTTTTTATCTAATAGTTAATTGCAGTTTTAGTTTCAATGTACGTTATTTTTAAACGTGAGGAATGGTGAAAATACACATTAGCCAAATGTATGAACAATCCCTTTATTATTTATTAATCTCAATTTAGTGTCAAATACCGAGCGTAAGTAAAATGGTAAAAATTACAATTTCTAAATTGAAAAACCACTTGAAATTATGTTTACATCCCTTTTAACTATAACAAATTTCTCTTCCAAATAAGTATTTTTTGATATGTTTCATAACGGATATCCGTGCAACCTTCAGAAAACATATTTCCCTGAACAATCTTTAGATCCTTCTCCTGTAGAATCTAACCCCGGAGCACAAACATTCTTTGAACAGGTTCCAATACTTCTCCGGGTAGTCTCAGAGGTATGGTCAGATTAAATTCCTTGCAGAGATCATAGTTAATCCCGCCGTTTACCCGCACTTTGTCGACTTTACCGAGAAACTAAATTTTTGCTATAAACGTCTACCGACTAAACTCAGAATCTCAGAACCAGAAAATTCCCGTGGCTCTCCCAAGTTTCCAAATAACATTTGAGACAAATCGGTCCAGGAGTTCCTGATTTATGATCGGACAAACAAACGAACAGACAGACAGACAAACCGGCATACAATAATTATAACGATATTTTACAATAACTATAATGATTTATCAGTAGCTATAACGATATCCTGCAATAATTATAATAATATTACACTCTCTGCTAAACCCTACTATACTTCGGTCAGATTATTGTAAAGTGCGCCGAAAGCTTAGTTGAAGATGATTATACAAGAACTATAATGATTTATAAATAACTAGTATTTTAACATTAACAATCCAAATATCATTAATGTTTAAAAAACAATATAAAGATAAAAACTGTTAAGAACTAATTAACTGTATCAAAGTGTCCTGGTATGTCTCCAAGTATTTACGAGAAATTTCAACCGGAAAGAAGAATATGTTAATGGAGCGGATGTAATGTTCAATATATTTTCAATGTTTGAATTTTGTAAACATTTCTCATGATATGATTATCAAACGTTTTAGTGGAGATAGTCTACTTTAGTTGTTGAGGATCGGAGGGATTATCTACCACCTGTACTAGTCAAGAATCGGAGGGATTATCTACCACCAGCACTAGTCAAGAATCGGAGGTATCATCTACCACCTGTACTAGTCAAGAATCGGAGGCATCATCTACCACCTGTACTAGTCAAGAATCGGAGGTATCATCTACCACCTGTACTAGTCAAGAATCGGAGGCATCATCTACCACCTGTACTAGTATTTCACTGAATAAGTGATTTAATAACTTATTAAATCAAATTGCTTTAATGTCGAATTCCTATTCTATAGTTTTCTGGTTCACTGTACCCGAATAAGTTTTGACTCTACTCCTGTCTCCTTGTTGTGGAAACCTGGTTCTTATACTTCAATCCTTTCAGTACACTTTCAAATTAAAGTAAAGCTTTCAAATGTTGTATTTTAGATATACTTTGTCACTTCTAATCAATATTGTTGAAAATAAAGATAAACAAAATTTATTGTGTTTCAGTAGAGGTATGAACACCAGACAGTAATCTTTAAAATATCTTGCCTTGATTTATCAAATGTATGTTAGTGAGAGTTCTTGAGTTCTTGCCACAAACTGAAGTTTTCTAATTCTAATAGCTTTGCAATTTGATTAAGTAAACCTTTAATATTTTAAACTTAGACTATTTGATCTAACAGAATAGTTTGAAATATCAGATATCAGAAATATATATAGATTTAAAAACTCAGTTCTTTTTGGAATTAATGATACCGTTCAACAAAGGAAATGAGTTTTTGACACAAACTGTAACGGTTTCACCCCTATATCTGAGCAACCCGGTGTCGTAGACCTTTGATATTTCAAACTATGAATTCTGTCAGATCAAATAGTATAAGTTCGGTTAACGCCATCTGGTTGCAAAGATATAGGGATTAACAAATTTGAGTTTGTTGCGAAAACTCAATTCCTTTCAGATGAGTATTTTGAGTTTTAAGCGCGTGATACGATGGCATTTCTTAATAAACTAATTTTTTTAATGATTTCTCAAACACAAAAATTAAAATTAAAGAACACTTTTGTGAATTTTTCTAACGTAGTTTTTCACCTTTCTTAATTTTTACAAAGAAACAGACCAATGTCCAGGATAACAAATTCTATGAACAAGGTTCTATTTTTCTTAGAAACAACCATGACATTTTGTATTAATCCGCTACTGACATGACACAGACAAAAAGTTAGTTTCAAAGATGTAATATAAACTTTATATCAAAATTAAAAGAAGTTAAAGTTCAGGTCAAAATAAAGTTTATAATGCAAACCAAAAAATTTACATATCGTAAGTGAATAAAAGTTCTTAAACAGAAAAATAATTTTAGATATTTCAATACTTTCCAATGCTCAGGCTCACGTTCATATCGTTTTCAATTGAATTGATATGAAAAGAATTTTGAATTGAATTAAATGCCAGAATTATACCTCCTCCATCCTTCCATCCTCTTCTCTGCTCAGTGAATAGAAGGAATGAGGATCTTTGAAAGTTTACTAATCCTTTCATTTTAAATACATTCCCACAAACCTAATAGAAACTGTATACTAATAGAATACTAATAGCTCTTACAATAACAGCATTAATATTAGTAGTAAACAATAATAATAATAATAATAATGATGATAANTTCTGTACTAGCAGAAAATCAGAGGTAGCATGTACTACTTCATGTACTAGCATAGAATCGGAGGCAGATCCTACCAGTTCTGTACTAGCAGAAAATCAGAGGTAGCATGTACTACTTCATGTACTAGCATAGAATCGGAGGCAGATCCTACCAGTTCTGTACTAGCAGAAAATCAGAGGTAGCATGTACTACTTCATGTACTAGCATAGAATCAGTGAAGGTTCAATCTGCTATGCTAGTAAAATTCCTCACTAGTCCTTGAAATTTCCTAATATGAAGGATATGTTTGACAACTATCTGAAAATAAGGTATTTTTATGATAAATATAGAAAATATTTTTTTCTCATTGATCTCTTTTAGTTAGTAATTGTAACCTGTTAATTCAGCTTCATATATTTGTTGTCTGTATAGATTCTTAATACACTATTATTACATCAAACAGAGAAGTAATACAATATAAGATCGGTACAAAACATATAGTAAACACATGACATAAACATCTAAAAATAAAATTTAAAAAATTTCCCCGCGTTTGTTCAAATTTTTGTTGTATTCATCTTTGAAAAGGACTGTTATTGTAATTTCATGTTCCTCTCTTTTTACAGGAAAAATATGCAACATAATATTCTGACACTCATTGCTATACATAGTAACAGATCTTATATAAAAGGGACAACAAAGATTAATGCCTTTAGTTATATTTTCTTTAGAACAAAATTTATGGAGTAAAATCATGCAAGGAAGATTTGATTGTAAGTAAATCAGAAAATTAATAAAATAAAATCATATCGTAAATCGCGAAAATTTGGGAATGTTATATAAAAAATGTATTCTGTACTCTTTAAAAAATTACAATTAAAAAATGTATATGATAAAATATCTATGAGTTTCATAAATTTATGGAAATTTCTGTTTTCCCAGAAGAAACTACTCAATTAATGATTATATTAAATTGTTCACAAAAAATGTAGTTTATCGAGAAGCTGTGCTCCAGGTTCTAGTTTATCTTGAAGTTGGGCTCCAGGTTCCAGTTTTTCTTGGAGCTGTGCTCCAGGTTCTAGTTTATCTTGAAGCTGTGCTCCAGGTTCTAGTTTATCTTGAAGTTGTGCTCCAAGTTCTAGTTTATCTTGAAGTTGGGCTCCAGGTTCCAGTTTTTCTTGGAGCTGTGCTCCAGATTCTAGTTTATCTCGAAGTTGGGCTCCAGGTTCTAGTTTATCTTGAAGTTGTGCTTCAGGTTTAAGTTTACCTCGAAGTTGGGCTCCAGGTTCTAGTTTATCTTGAAGTTGTGCTCCAGGCTCTAGTTTATCTTGAAGTTGGGCTCCAGGTTCCAGTTTTTCTTGGAGCTGTGCTCCAGGTTCTAGTTTTTCTCGAAGTTGGGCTCTAGGTTTTAGTTTACCTTGAAGTTGTGTTCAGGTTCTAGTTTATCTTGAAGTTGGGCTCCAGGTTCCAGTTTATCTTGAAGCTGTGCTCCAGGCTCTAGTTTATCTTGAAATTGTGTTCAGGTTCTAGATTATCTTGAAGTTGGGCTCCACGTTCTAGTTAATCATGAAGTTGTGCTTCAGATTCTAGTTTATCTTGAAGTTGGGCTCCAGGTTCTAGTTTATCTTGAAGTTGGGCTCCAGATTCAAGTTTATCTTGAATTGTGCTCCACGTTCTAGTTAATCATGAAGTTGTGCTTCAGATTCTAGTTAATCTTGAAGTTGGGCTCCACGTTCTAGTTTATCTTGAAGTTGTGCTCCAGGTTCTAGTTTATCTTGAAGTTGTGCTGGATGATGAAGATGATTGGGATCTAGTAACTATACCACCCTTGAAAAACTCTTTCCCTTCCATTACCGACCTATAGAGGTTTCCGGAGCCCGACTCCTCCCAGCTCCGAGAACTTGAAACTAATCCCTGATCCTGAACTCCGATTCTTCGTCCTGATAGCTCCGGGTTTGTCACGTACTGAACCTAAAATCAAATCATTTCTACTTATTGGGAAAAAATATACATTAAAGAAAAAAGATAAAAGTTGTTTAAAACATATACACCAATGTTTTTTTGTTGGCCTTTAACTTCAATTTTCTATCTTTTTATCTTTGCCATCTTATTTCGTAGACTTTGTATTTCAAACAATTTCAACTACTTAAAGTTGGGTTTATCAAAGACTAATTAAACATCAGTTTGCAAAGATAAGTTAGAAAATAAGAGTTAAAGGCGAGTAATCAGTTTCATTAGCAGATTTATTTGCATATATAAATAACATTATATCCTGTTCATTTAGAATATACATAAAAGCATCAAAATCCATCCCTAAACTTTAATATCTAATTTCTTCTATTTATCTGGGAAAATGCATATTCAAGGAATTTAAAATTCTAAACATTTCTGCGGCAGCCGGAATATTGAAGGAAGAACCAGTTTTGCATTTAATTAAATGTCTAGAGTCTGAACTGCACTACACAGTAGCTTGAAAAGAAATCGAGCTTTTTTATAATTTAAAGATTTAGCCGAAAAATTAAGAAATTGTTTTAGATTTCTTCTCCTCGACTAGCTTTTTAACCGTCCTGTTTTTGTCCAAAATTCCTTTTTCTTAAAAGTTAAGAAATTTTAGGTGCACTGGTATAAAAAATAAAAGTTCTGGAGTAAAAAAATAAATACAGAAATATTTTTCTACGGAAACATGCTAATAGTAATATATCAATGAAATCTCTATATAATAAAGCTCTTTGCTCATATATATATATATATATATATGTTAGCTATAGCTGGCCAAATAGCTGGACTAAATTGGCTAAAAAAATTTTGAGGGAAACTATGGGAATCCCGGAGGTAACAGGCTAAAAAATTAAAGTTTTTTTTTCTTCGAAATTTTTTTTTCAAAATTCGAATTTTTTAAATTTCCCGGGCTTCATAATATATTATTATAAATATTTCTATATATATATATATTCTGAGAATCTGCATTCATAATATATTTCAGGTCCCATTCTTGACGAATAGAAATTGTGAATTGTAGAAATAAAATGTCTGGAAAAGAGAAGAAGCATATTCAAAACTTTAAGTTTTATCCATCTTTTCAAAATCTAATGCTTCTTAAACTTCATAAAAAAATGTTCTATAATCTGTAGAAAGTACAATTCCTGAAGTGTCGGAGTTTCTTGAAGTAAATTGAATTTAATTATTAAAAATATGAAAATAAAAACTTGCATTTTCGAATATTTTTGAAATTCACTCATATAAACAGGAACATCTTAAATTTTTCATTCTTATGGTTTAATAATTAAATCAAAAATGCTCGTATATAAATTGCAATAATAAAAGGTCAGGATCATTTTAACAGATAAAATTGCTAGATCATTTTATCTTCAAATTTTGGAATTGTATTTAATAGTTGAGATGGTATTCAAAAGTTTCAAAAAAGAGAACAGCTGCAAACCAAATAAGGGAAAAAATGGAAAGGGGGTACTAAATCCACACCCTCCCACCCCGACTTTTAAGGGTTTTAGGGTAATGTTACATCGTCTATACGCAATATCCCCCCTCCTGAACTTCCGACCTGCTAACTTTCCGACCTATACTGCAATATTGGACCTACGACAGCTGTTTATATTTATATTATTTTAGGGTTAGGTTAGGTTTAGAATTTCTTGGCCGAGTGCTTCGGCTAAGGTCATAGCGGATGTGCGTAGGTCGAAAAACACACCATCGGTTTTAGAGAGAAATAAATTCTACGAACCTGAGATACTTGAGAAACGAACCCTGTAGGACGATCGTGTTCCACACCATCTTCTGATTGGTTAGAAGAGAATCTATTTTCTAGTTTGGTTTGGTTCGGTGTAAACAACGCGGCTTCTGGTTGGCTGGCTCGTCTTCGCATCTCCTCTTCACGAGTCTTTTTCAAAATGTCTGCCACAGCTGAAAAAATCAAAATCAAATATACTTGATAACTCTATTTTCAGAGTTTACACATCTTTGCAGCCAAGCGCTTATGACAGGAGTGGAGGCTGGGGCGTATGAGAGCTTTAGTGTAGGGGGGCACCTTAATCTATATTAAAGAACCGTATATTTTTTATGCTTAGTCTGTTAGAACATATGTTGATTATATATCAGAGTTAAAAAGGAAATGAGATTTTTCCAAAAAACTCCAAAAATTATAATCCCTACATCAGTGTGCAATCATGTCGTAGATCTTTGACATTTCAAACTATGAATTCTATGAACAATGAAAAAGCCTAAGTTTGAAATAAGGTTTTCACCATCAGGTTTCAAAGAAATACGGATTAGAAAATTTGAGTTTGTGGCAAAAAATTGTGTTCTCTCTTGAAATATATTTCCCCCTTTCAAAAATAATTTTTGCCCCAGAAATTAGATATGTTTGCGCGGAGCAGCAAAAAATGTGTATGCTGAATTTTTGGTTATGAATTGTAGTAAGGATAAAAACCAGCCTTTTTTTCTCTCCAGTACGTCAAAAATCATATTTTTCTACAGAAGTTAGGTTTGTTTGTGCATAATATCAAAACCATTGCTGAAATTTTGAGTAAAAAGAATTAAAAAGGATTAAAACTTGCCTTTGATGTCCAATTTTTCTTTTCTTTTGTGAAATCGTTATAAATCAATGCAAGGTACAATTGAAACAATGTTTGTAAATGAATTGATTATTAGAATATATTTATTTTAGACTTAGTCCATGCATAAGTGTTTTCCTTTGCAGAACAAGATTTATGGTCGCAAGTAAATGAATGCAATGCAAGTGCTCTGTTGCTGTGGAAAAGTAAGGATATTTTCTCTTATGAGTTCATCCTTTAAAGAATGCATGAATTTCTGCGCCATGTCCTGGATAATGCCTATTGTCTACTCTAATTAAATTTAAAACTAAATTCTCAGTATAAATTTTCCAATCTTTTAGTCCATAACTCAGGGATAATTTCATTAGTTAAAGTAAAATGATTGTGAAAAATCCAGGTTTAGGAACGCAACCTTGTTTGAATTAAAGTGTTTGATGTCTAGGGTTGGGGATGTTAAGGTTTCTTTAAATCCTTCTATTTACTTTTACTACTTCTACCATTCAGTGAGAGGGGTTTGGTCTTAAATACATATTTTGCCGGGTTAGTTGTTTTTAATTCACGACGATTCTTTTAAAATCTACCGTTCATTATGAAACTCTGATCAGCCCAATTTATGTCTATGCAGTGGTGTACCTGGATCCTTATAGTGGTAAATTTGGATCCCACCCAGGCCCTGGTTCAATCTCTCCACACTAGGATCAGTAGTCTTTGCTCTCAAGTTCCTCCCTGAGAGTAGCTCCTCCTGTCTCCTGATCTCCTCCTTCCTTGCTCGATCCTTCTTTTCCCGCTCTAACCTCTCTATATGGAGTAACTCCTCTCTAGTCCTCGTCTCTCGTTCCATCCTGTCTCTTTCGTTCTGTATCATCTCAATTCTTTTCATATCCTCCGTCCTGGCCCGGTTCCACATTGTCTCAGACTCTTTCTTGGTTCTCTCTATCTCATGGTTCACCATTGCTTCTCTCTCCTCCTGGAGCTGTCTCCAGGACTTCGTCTCGATCTAAACATTAACATTTTTTCGTGCTTTAAGAAAATTTAAAAGATCAATTCTCGGTATGCGAAAAAAGTCTTGATGGTTTGAAAACAACTGTCATGGGAAAATGTTGAAAAAATAAATATTAATAAGTGCACACCAAAGGAAGTTGATTACTCACCACAAACTTTCTAATATCTAGATTTTCGCATCCTTGCGGGTTGAACAACCGGTTGTAAAGATATAAAAAATAAAAATTTCATTTTGTAGCAAGTAATCAGTTCCTTTGAAATGATTTATAAGAAAATAATGAAAAGCTTTTACAGGGGGTTCTAAAAAAGATTTTAGACGTCCAAAAACCCTTTTTAATTTATCATAATTGAGGGATTACAATACAAAATCTAATATTTCTGAAACTTTATGAAACACTTTTGTATAACTTTAATCTTTATATCAGATTTCCTTTTATAGCAGAAAAATATGTACGTAGATAATTCACATTGAGATAGTTGCTAGTTTGCAAATAAAAATTCCGGTCCATTTTTCAAATTGCTGAAATTTTTTAGATTTAAAATCTGTAATCTGTAAATACAGAAATCTATGCAGTTTTATTTTCGTCCCATCACAAGACATTTACAGAAACTAATTTCAATTTATCATATAATAATTTTAGCTTATTTCGAGATGAAGTATTCTTGTTCTAAAAAAAAATAAAAAATCCTTCTTACAGGTCAGTTTAATTTTAGTTTATTTTAAACTTCTGTCTGTGCTGTTGAACTAAAAACATTAATCTTTAATTCAACGTAACGTAATTTCATGTTTAACCTCGAAAAGGAATAATTCATTCTTGTTTGTCTCTCTAAAGCAAGTTACATGAAAGTAACTTGCTGATTTCTGCAGCAATAACAAGGATGGAAAGAAATTAAGACTTTGTCACAAACTCAAATTATATTTTTGCAAGCTAATGGTTTAAACCTTTGATATTTCAAACGTCTAGATTATTTGATCTAACAGAATACATATAAGGTCTGCAACATTGGGTTAAACAGTTATAGGGATTAGAAAACCAGAGTTTGTGGCAAAGAAACATTTCTTTTATCTGAAATTGTTTTTTTTTGTTTTTTTTAAGATAGAAAAACGATAATATCTTACTCAATGTTATCCATACTAAGGTTTAAGGATAACGGAGTGCCACAATTACTCTAGTCCTTCAAAAAAAGTGTCAGTAAAGGAAATCAGATAAAGTAATTGAATTAAGAATGCAAAGGCAGAGCTTTTTGGAGATCCACAAGGCCCGGACGTTTTTATTTTGGTACAGAAACAAATAATTTAAGTTTATTTTCAAAATAAAAAGTTAAGAAGGAAATTGATTTTTATATTTTTAGCGAAAGAAAGTCGTCCATGCTTCATTAACATCTGGGGTGGGGGGAATAGTCTTTTAAAATAACCGGAGGTCAAAACTGTTGTATTAGACACCGCTAAGCTTCAGAGACTCAATTCGATATCCAGTGCTCAAAGTTTTAATTGGCTTTAACGCGCTAAATCAGGTAAAGTTATCTATCTATCTCAGTTGTCAATGAGGGTTTAAGGTCTATCTAAGGTCTTTTGACCTTAGATATTTCTGTTTTCTGTTTTAGATATATCTGTTGGATTTAATATTCCACGTTTAAATTATTAAAGGGTTACTCCATCATGTTGTAAAGATATAGGGATTTAAAAATCAGAGTTTGTGGCAAAGACTCAATTTTTTCGGGTCCGACAGTTCAACCTTTTTTACTTTCATTAGATCAAAACAATCTAGCAAACCAATAATTCAATAAAAAAGGCTTGGGATTATATCAAGCCACAAATAAGACTGAAGCAAAATCTTAGACAAAAATGACGGAAGTGTAATTTAAAGTTATGTATATTAGAAAAATGTGCTTGATAGATGAGAAAAAGTAAGATTAAGACTTTAAATTTAATATTTGAAACTCTGAAATAAGAATTCATCATACTTAATATTGAATTTTAACTACTCCGGAAAACATAGGTTTGACATCTCTAGACTTCACGAATTCCTAAGATGAATCTGTACTTCAGCTGTGAAGGAACCAGGAAAAAAAACAAGGAAAAACTTCTCCAACTACCTGAGATGGGAAATGTTTATCGCAATTGTTCTGCCACATGCACAAACTACATTGTTTTAGACTTTTCTGTATAAAACTGTATCTTTAAAACTGTATGCAGACACAGACTTGTCGGGGTTTCCAGAATATTCGCAAACTTTTGGCACAATTTATGCCAGAATATTCTCATTATTTGCAGTGTTGAAAGTTGCAAAGAAAAAACTTTTTCTCCTTGTCCTGTTTTTGACAGTACTTTTCATTTAAAATATTCTACTTGGTTCTGTTTTATTTTGCCTTTTTTTTGTTCTGTTCTTTTCTGCTTAGTTCTGTTTTGCTCTGTTTTGTTCTGTATTATTCTATTCTGCTCTGCTCTCCGCTGTTCTGCTTTGGTCTGTTTGGTTCTGCTTGTAACAACTGCTCTATTCACCTCCGCACTGTCCTGTTCGACATATATACTATTTGGTTTTATATCGTTCTGTTCTCTTCGGCTCTCCATTGCCTAGTTCTGTTCTGTTCTGTTCTGTTCGTATATTTTTTATTTTAATCCGTTCTGTTCTATTCTGTACTATTCTGTTATATTCTGTTCTATCCTGTTCTATCCTGTTCTATTCTGTTCTATTCTGTTCTATTCTGTTCTATCCTGTTCTATCCTGTTCTATTCTGTTCTATTCTGTTCTATTCTGTTCTATTCTGTTTATTCTGTTCTATTCTGTTCTATTCTCTTCTATCCTGTTCTATTCTGTTCTTTCCTGTTATATTCTGTTCTATCCTGTTCTATTCTGTTCTATTCTGATTTTTTTTCTGTTTTATTCTGTTCTATTCTGTTTATTCTGTTCTATTCTGTTCTATTCTGTTCTACTCTGTTCTATTCAGTTCAATTATATTCTGTTCTCTTCTGCTCTATTCTGGTCTATTCTGTTCTATTATGTTCTATTCTGTTCTATTCTGTTCTATTATGTTCTATTCTGGTCTATTCTGTTCTATTATGCTCTATTCTGGTCTATTCTGTTCTATTCTGGTCTATTCTGGTCTATTCTTGTCTATTCTGTTCTATTCTGTTCTATTCTGTTCTATTCTGTTATATTCTATATTCTGTTCTATTCTGTTTTGTTTCTCTGAAATTAACTAAATCAAAATATTCTATTGTATTCTATGCTGAGATATCTAGACTCCTGCAGCTCGTAATCTAAACCTTAAAATCAGAATTATAGTTTATAAAAACCATAAGACGTGTATGCCAAATTTTGACCTTGAAAGAAGATATATGCAAAAAATTAACTAGCCAAAAACAATAATTTAAAAGAAACGAAGTTGTGGCCCATAACTGAATGTAATAAGTCACATAATCGTCCGTTCATACTTTTGAGAATAACTCCTCGTTCTTAAGATCTGTGAATAGGAAATTTTTTTTTAAAGATTGCAACCAAACAAGTTTGCTTTCATACTCTCGGATGTAAAGGAAAACCAGAGCAATTCCGTATCAATATGACAGTTTAATGCAGTGGAAATGGACGTATAAGTAGTTAAAAGGGAAGCTAGGAAAATGTTGATAAAAAGAAGGTTGGGAGAACCGCAATTCAAGATTGTCAGATTGAAAAAGAGAAGAAACAAGTGAGAGAGAGACAGACGATGATGAAAGTCCTAAGGTTAAAGATATTTATGGCACTGAGGTAATATTTGCATTTAAACTGTCAAGACCCTCAGTTCTAATTCCTCACTATTGTTATACAACAACAACAGACTTCAAACACAAATAAAATTGGAAAAATAAAGTTACGAATAGAAGAAAGAAGTAGAGACAAAACAAGGGGGGGGAGATAATCCTTTATCTTCTAAAAAATAGGGGGGGCACCCTCCCCGTTCATATTTTGAAAACGGGAATTTACAGGGCAAAAAAGGGGTTGAAAAAACTTTTGTCCAGAATGATGTGATACAAAATCTTTATTAACCTTGAATGAGGTTAGCTGTGGTATAGGTTCAGGTTTAGGGAGAGGTTTGAACAGATCCTGGTATTCAGTCTTATCCCGGAAGGAAACAGAAGGAGCTGAGACCCTTCTCTCCTCTGTCATAGCAGGAGGTTGGGAGCATCCTCTGGAGGGAAGAGAAGGACGACCTCTAGCTCCTTTCCAGGTTACTCCTACCATGTCCTAGGTGTGTTGTTGACTGGATTCTGGAAGGAGAAAGCTGAGGAGTTGACCTGTTCAGCTAGATGTATAGTGTTTACTCTGTCCAGGTTCACTTTCTAATTTTATTCAGGCCTTTGTATGTATGAATGTATTATTATAAGAACACTCAAAACAATTTTACATTATGTATATTATGTTTAATATACCATTAGCTGAAGTGCCCGGCGTTGCCCTTGGAATAAAAAAAAGAGTCGAAGTTTGAAAAAAAAAATTAATGAAAAAAAATAAATCGGATTTTTTTAAGCCCCAGGGCACCTATTGGATCCCTCAAAAATCAGCCAATTTGGTTCAGCAGTTTCGCCAACATATAAATATGTAAATACATACATACATATACATATACATACATACAAATATATATATATATACATATATATTCATATGACCAAAGAGCTGTATTATGTAGATGTATATCTGTAAAATACCCAGCAGAACTCACAGTTATTGGGTTTATCACACTTTTGGAAACTTTTTAGAAATATTTTAAATCCCTAGAATGCATTTGTAAAATAAATTCATCTTTACTAATTCTCTACTCCCCCTACAATAATCTTTTCCCCTTACTATTCTCTACTCCCCCTACTATTCTCTACACCCCCTAATATCCTCTATTCCCCCTAAT